TATTGTGCTTTGGAAAGTATTACTATGTTTTGGGCTGAATGACATATTTGGGCCTTGTGCCAAGCTGTTTGGACCCTTAGGGGATTTTTACTACTATTCCTCACTATTTTGATTTAATATTTGTACTCAGTCATGCTATGCTTTACTGATTTCACAACTCAGTCTTATTTACCCCGTTTTGAGGTATAAAAATGATATTTTGGTCTGAGCACCCTGTTTTACTGTTAGCCCAAGTGGCTTGAGAGGTTTTTGACTGCGTGAAGCCGATAGCCTGTTTTGTGAGGATATTATGGGATCGGGTTGCGCGCCGTAGCAGGTTGTTCTGATTCATTGTTATGTGAGGCCGAGGGCCTGATTGATTTATGCCACAAGGTGGCTTGTTGTTATGAGGCCGAGGGCCTAACTGATTTATGCCACGAGATGGCTTGTTATAGCGCTTGGGTTGTAAGAGCCCTTCCGGAGTCTGAACACCCCTAGTGAGCACGGGTATCCTTAGTGAGTGATATAACGTTTGCCCGAGGGGCTGATCTTGATACATGTTGTGCCCGAGGAGCTGATTCCGAGTGATTGTGAGGTAGCCCGAGGGGCTGGTTCTGATTGATGTTATGCCTGAGGGGCGGTTTATGATTCATGTCTTGCTAAGGGGCTATTTACGACTTTTATCATTTTTATTTTAAACTTCATTGAATCTCTGTTGAAACTGTTAGAAAGACATTTTTCAAAGGATTTTTACTGAAATTAGAATTTAACGAGATGACTTGATTTATATACTGTTTTGGAAACAACCTGTACTTATTGTGGTGTTATGCCGTAGATTATGTGTTTTCTTACTGCTCAGTCTTTATTTACTTTTATTACTTACTGAGTTAGCGTACTCACATTACTCCTTGCCCCTTGTGTGCAGATTCAAGTATTTCTGAACCCGGTAGCGGGTGTTGATTACTCAGTGGCAGGTCCATCGGAGTTAGCAAGGTAGCTAGCTGTCTGGCGTTCGCAGCCTTGCTCTTCTCCCTCTCATCTTCCTTGGATTGTTTTAGTATTTTCTAGAATGCGGTAGTCTTTGTTGTATTCAGACCTTAGTAGATGCTCGCCACTTGTGACTCCCCGATGTCGGGCCTGTGTTTTCTTTCCGCACTTGTTATTTAAGGTCATGTAATGGGATTTTATTTGATTAATAGTGTAAGACGTTCCTTTTATGAAATATTGGTTTGATTTGGGATTGTGTCGGTTGGCCTAGTTTCACGATAGATGTCATCATGATCGGATCGGTTTTGGAGTCGTGACAGTTTTGTGCCAAATCTTTCTTTTTCGGATCAACTTTCATCCAAACACGTTCCTACACATAAGAAATACATAATAAGCATAATTCACTTTAATAACCATACATTCCTCAAATCACAGAACATCTCGAATATAAACATACTCAGAAATATTTAGTTTTTACCAATTATCATAAACCATGAGTGTGATCACAAAAAATCTAAAAAAGTGAGATAAAGGTCTAGTCGCTATTTCACTTTTTTGGGTCCTGGAATTTAGTACTCAGCACTCATAACCATTTCGAACCAAGAATGTGACCAAGTCTATCTACGACACGTTAAACAAGCAAAGAAATGTTCAATTAACAATAACCTAAAACCCGATGAAAGACCAGCCACGTAAACATAAATATAGCAGAATTATAAAAATGTAATGTACGTATATACTTATATTATTCTGTTAAACCATAATGATAAAATATCTTAATTTTCTTTTGAACATATTCGTTGCCTATTTCGTGTACGTTAAAGAAACATATCAATCAATATCTTCTGTCATTTCTAAATGGAGAACCACTTTTTAATATATAACAACCGTTTCTGGAATCCCAACGTTCTGTTTTATTATACATCTATATAAGAGCTGACATTATACTTAGGCCTCGTTTGGCCATGAGTTTGCCAAAATAAATTTGGAATTTATTTTCAAAACTCATGTTTGGCTATAAATTTTGCCCACATTTTGACAAAATCCCAAATTCCAAACCCCAAATCCCAAAATCACTCAATTGCTGATTTTGGGTCAAAATCCCAAAATTTGGGAATTATATACATGTTTTTCCAAAATAAAGTTGGAAAATATGTTTTGAAAACGTATATCCAAACACATTTTCATCTTCAAATCAAACTTCACCCAAATCAAATTTTTTAAAATAAATTAGGAATGTATGGCCAAACGCTAGCTTAAAAGCAGGCCAAGAAAGGGCAAAAGAATATAAAAGAGCAAATTTCTATAACTATACTGAACCTTCTTAATTACCTTTAGTTGCACTAAGCTCCACATAATATATGGTCTCTCCTTTTAGGTCAAGACAAGATGCATATTTCTTCTCATGTTCCTACCACTACTACAGAAAATTATACATAAATTTTTAACGTGCATTTTGGTCTCACCTTTTGTCCCGTTAACTTTTTTTGAATGTTTTCTTAGTGGTCCCTCGTCGTTTTTCATAACGACTTGCTTTAGAAATATATAAGGTGAACGATGAAATAATTATTTTGAAATTTTATACATTCATTTTGTGTGTCATCGTCTTTATTACATCACTTGTAATATGTGATCCTGTTTGCCTGTTTAGTAGTAAGTGTGAAAATTACTACAGAGCACCTGGACTAATTTAGCTGCTTAGGCCTCCAATAGAAAACTAATTACAATTTTTGAATTAAAAAACTACACCTATGAGATTTCTTGGATCCCTTTAGTAAGTCTAATCTCTCTTATGAATTTTTTCTTGATTTGTACAAAATTGCTATTTACATTAGTTCCTCTATAAACCATCCAGTTCTTAGAAATGTGATTTTGCTGTCATAAAAAGTAAGGCAAAATGGCTTCCTGACCACTTAAACTTGTTAGGTTTTTAAAAGTCGATAAATAAATTTTCTATTTTCCCATTTGAACACTCGAACTCATTTTTCCCGTAAATAATAAATACATCTGACAAGAGACCGTGTGCGTACATATTACACATACACATACATGTCCATCCAGTCAGCAAATGACCAATGGATGTCTTACATGTCAAGGGCGCGAAAATCCTAACCTAACAGATCGGAGTCCCCTCTTTCATTCCATATATCGACCCCTCTCCCCTAGTTTTAACCTCTCTCTGACCAAACCCTCTCCTGTTCATTCCAGCATTTTGATGATCAGAGAAGGTGAAAAGAATCTTGAAAGTGAGAGGATCATGTGTAAGGCCCATAGGCCATCATAGTAGGCACTCAATAGGCCACATAATATGCAAAGCCCTTCTTGCCATCGATGAACTCTCCATAAGTTCGGAAAACCTCGTCGAGAATGGCACTGATCTGCTCATCGCTGAATTTGACCGTAGGGTTTACAACAACCACCAAAGCTTCAATTTCCTCGCGGTAAGACCCCCATCTCAGGGGCGGAGCTAGCCCATCGAGTACAGGTTCGGTCGAACCCAGTCATTTTGGTCAAATTCATGTATTTGTCTTAAAAAATCAATTGAATATGTATAAATTATTAATTTAGAACCCAGTAACTTTAAAGGTTAAAATTCCGAACCCATAAGCTTCAAATCCTGTCTCTGCCTCTGCCCCATCTCCATTTGCATCAAAATTCTGGAAGATTCTTTTCACCTTCTCCGATCGCCGAATTCCAGAACCTTCCAGATTCTTTTCACCTTCTCCAACATTCAAAAATGACTTGTTTATGGTGGTCAGTGGCGAAGCCACATGGATATAAGGGTGGTCAACTGACCACCCTTCGTCTAAAAATTGCACTATGTACATAGGTAAAATATTATGTTTTAGAGGTATATAACACATATTGAACACCCTTTATCGAAATTTTTTTTTATTTTTTTTAAATTTGAACACCCTCGGAGAAATTCCTAGCTTCACCACTGATGGTGGTGGATATGGCATGAGGTCGGCCGTGCTAGATGAACTTCCAAAATCGATCATAATCACTCACCCCTTTCCAAAATCGATCATAATCATTCACCTATTTTTTTTGTTTATTATCTGTTAATCTTGTTCTGATCGAGCTTCGTTTGGTCTAAGTGATGCAAAACTTAACTTTAACTCCACAATGACAAAATATACGACTTTTAATCATTTTCACGATCTGAAAAAAGAAAATAAAAATAAAAATGGAGCTTCAGATTTTACAAGAAGGAGGAATGAAGCCTCAGATTTTAAAAAATGGAGGAAGAGAGTACTTTAGAAGGAATAAATAAGAAGACACTTAATCAACCCATTTTGTACTGTTGGGCGTTGGGAAGGAGGCATTCACGCTCCTGTACGTTGTGTTCCTCACGGGTCTACTGATTAGGATCAACTGACGCCACATGGACACGGCCAATGGTCAAATATATTTATTAGTTACGGGAAAAATGAGTTCGAGTGTTCAAATAAAAAAGTTGAAAATTTATGTATCGGCTTTTAAAACCCCGTCAAGTTTAAGTCGCCAGGAAACCATTCCGCCAAAAAGTAAAGCACCTCAAAAAATAACCTTTGAAATAATTCTTCCATCCAAAACTTTACTCATCCACTCCTCTTTTTTTGTTTTAGAAAAAAAATTAGTTGAACTCACATTTAGCTTCTCGTGAGTTAATTCAAATATTTTTTTTCAGTTTTACATATTTTAAAATTTTCAAAGTTTCATGCATGTTTAAAAATTATAAGTATAATTTATTTATCATTTAAAATATAATTTTAATCCTTATTCATCGACCTAGAAATTAGAATCGATCAAGTTGATATCACCAATTAGTTAAACATGCAATTTAATTATGTGCTACACGTACGTTAGAACATTAAATTCATGAAACAAAAGCTGTTGAGGGAAGAAATATAATTTGATAAAACTTGTGGGCGGTCATCACAAAGTATAATAAACTAATGAGAAAATCAGCACAAAATAACAAAAACCGAAGAAAATCAAACTATGAATATGTCATATTTTAAGACAAAATATTACTAAGAGTACTTTTCATTTCATGGTTTTCTTTTTCAATAAATCCAGCCCCCTCTCTTCTCCACACTATAAACATAAACCTTATTCATGAACCGGAGAGAAAGTTCAACAAATATGATTGTTTCATCTCAATGGAATCGTAGGTTCAAAAGTTCATTCATAAAACCAACTATTCTAGCTTTCATAACTTCAACTTTGATAGTATTCTACATTTTTTCTACCTTAAGACTTCTCAATATTCATCCTCATCAAACTCAGCTTGAAATAAAAACACCATTGGATATCAGCTCTTCTAATTTGAGAATTGTGGTTCAAGAAATACAGAAATATAACAAGCCAATCAAAGATGATGAAACTCTAACTCTTTTATTACCGAATTCTACTGTTTTGCCTTTGCCTGAGCCATTTCCAATTTCTAAACCGGAGCTTCAAGTCGGTTCAAGAGGTGAGAAACTTAATTGTTTTTACTTCATGTCCCCCTTTAGATGTCCTAAATTAATTTTGTTGAATTTTGACCAATATTTATGTTGCTACCTATCTTGCCTCAATGATCAATTAAACTTTAAGAAACACTAGTATAGGCGGCTAGACGCTTGTTGAATTATGTCAAAATTGCTATTATTTCATGAAGTTTAGTCCCATCACATGAAAAAGCAAAATTAACCACTGTACTTTATAAATGATTAAAATCCAAATTTTTGTAGTTCTTTTATTTTTATCTGTGTAGCGGTGTTTGACTCAACAAGAAAAAAAAAAGTTTTAAACTTATGGTCTTTAACGTATTATAACATTTGTTGGGCTATTAAAACATGTCGGATTAATTGGCCAACATGCTTATTTTCTTTTGTTTATCTTACTTTGTATTTTAGTTTCGTATTATAAGCTGGAATAAATAGCCAATATATTCAAATTGGCCGACTGGTCTAAAGAAGGGAACAAGGAAAGGTTGGTAGATATCTTCTAAATTTTTTGACAGCTTCATTGAGTTGCCAATTCAAACTAAGGGATAAAGATGCAAGCAAAGTAGCATGTTTTGAACAGTGTTTTTATAATGCAGTTTTAATAAATAAATATATACCATGCGTTTACAAAATACTGTTTTATTTACCAATAGTTAATTAACATACATTCTTGTTTTTTTTTTATCAGTTAAATGTGGTAAGTTGACATGAGTTAGTCACATGTAGTTTTCCCCTTTTTCTTCAATTCGTTAGAGAAGAATGAAGACCTCATACGATAAATGTCAAGTTGGGGGAAGGATAAGGGGTTGAGGAGGCTGACTTCATCTTCTCTCTTATTATTTTTCATATTATATACTAGTATTAATTAAATCATTTTCACAGTCCTACTTTTTCTTTTAATTAACTTCTGATGTTGAGTTTTGAACGGAAGTATTCGTCATTTTTCAATAAAAGTCTAGCTTCTTCATCCTGCACTATTGCAGTTAGTTGCCATATTAGAAAATAACTCTTTCAAGAAATATATATACTATACTTTTTCAAGATTGTATTTTGTATACAGCCATCATAAAAGGTTTTGTAACTTCAGGATACTCGTAATTACCAAGATCACTTTAAGAAATCTTTTAGCGCATTGTATTTGTTTCTCAAGAAAATTCCAACCCCCTCCTCNAATTTCTAAGCATTACGAGCATTTACTGGGGGTAATTGAGTATATTATTAGGTGGTTTGGTTTGTGTTTTCCTTGGTCTTGGATTAGTTAAAGAACAATGAATACGATAAATTTATCTTAATTATCTCTTATTTGTTTCCTTTTATTTATTTTTAAATCACTTTCACAGTTCTACTACTTTTTCTTTTTCATTGGTGTTGTTGAGTGTGACGGGAAGGGTGGCCCGGGCGGCTAGATGAGTATCCTCTATTAACATATTAGTTGACTATTTTAGAAAATCATTCTTTCTAGAAAAACATACTCTATAGGTCGCTCCATTTTAATTGGTACTATTTTCATTTCAATCTATACAGAAGAATATTGACTTACTTTTATATTTAAAATAATTTAATTTTAAACTTATTCATTATTAGCAAAAAAAGATAACAATTTAACTTTAAATTTTAAATCTTACATTTAATGACATGATTAATAGTAACATAAATGACATGACTTACTTAAGACCACAAATTTAAGAAGTATTAAAGCTACATAAATATCATAGCATTTCAAATCACGAATTTTAAAAGTTCTTTTTTCTTTCCTTATCTGTGTGACTAGTCAAATAGATAACATAAAATGCATAAATATTTTTAGATACTTTTCAGAATTATATCAACTTCATTTCTAGATATTTTCAACGGAGAATAGCGTTTTAGGCTCTCAGTTATTGGTCAATTTTGATTTTGATCATTGTAATATTTGACTAAACACATTTAACCTTCAATTTGTGCGAATGTTCAAGTTGAAAATCCCTCTCATTGCGTCTTAAAAGTTTGTAGAATTATTAATCGTTACATCATCTAACTACCTGAGTGTTAATATAGTTCTAAATATAATTTAAATAAAAAACACACATTTTAATGTGTTTTAGAAATTATTAAGCCAATTTGGTTTAGAAGATATCTTGTTTTCTTTTTTGAGATTCAAAATACCACAAAGAAGAGCAGTTTAGTTAAAATAGAATTTTGCTTCCAAAATTAAACAAAAACCTTTTCGAACATCAATTTGAGCTGAATTTATAGGCATTTCGAGCATTTACAGGG